AAAGTGAATCGAAGAACAGGTAAATTATTTTTACTAAGACAGTACTAAACTCAGTTGACTATAACAGCAAACCAATTGCATGTCATTTCTTTCAAAATTCATGTTTAAGATAAATTATTTGAGAATTATTCACTTTTTAAATTTAAGGTTGATCTTCTCAAAGTACAATGTTGTTAAAAAACTGAAAATCAGGTGGTACCTTAACTGTTATTTAGATCAGAGTTAAGTGGATCTGGAGGTTGAAAATCTAAGTTTTGAAGCCTACTGCTTACTGTTATTACTACCTTAGGCAAGTCACGTAGCTTAGCTAAGCCTCAGCTTTTACTTTGTACTTGTCATTTTTTAACCTACAAATTCGAAAAAGCAGTTTTTATCTCACAGGGTTTAAAATTAGATGAGATCTGCTAAGAAACCTACCTGTCACACGGTAAGAGAGGAGTAACTGCCCATGACCATGATGCTGACATTCACGATCCCGACATGCTATTTTTGTCCTGTACATTTCAAAAAGATCCATCTTTGCATCTCCACAAATGTCCTTTAGTTACCTAAACCCTATTAGATGAAGCCACTACCGCCTCACCCGGCATCACCTCACTGCAGGGCACTATGCCTAACCTAGGAGTCTTCTGTCAGGACCCAAATCTTCGTCTATCTTTGTTTTCTATTTGCTGTATCAATATATTTTACATTCTGCTAGTTCTCACAGGTCTGTCACCACCACACCAGTCCAAGCCAGCATCATCGTTAGGCTGGGCAACTACAAAACACCTCCCCAAAATAAAAAACCAAAAACCTCTTGATACAGTTCTCTGTGTTCATGCCTGCCCTCGTCTGGCTTCCACTCAGCTGCCAGAGTCTTTACAGTGTCCATCAGGCGGGGCCCCTTCCCCGCTCAAAACCTCCAGTGGTTTCCTACCACACAGATCCAAGCCCACTCACTGCTCAGAAGCACCTAAGGGAGCAGCGCTCTGCTGACTTCCTCTCCCAGTCCTCCCCTCCATGCCCACGCAGCTCCAGCCAGGCTGGTCTTTCGCGTGTGGTGAGCGAGGTGAGCCCGCAGGACACTCCTCTGCCTGAACGCGCGGCGCCTGTGGAAAACACCCTGCCTAGCCAATGCACCTCCACCTTCTGGGAACGCGCCCCTGCGGTGGCGACAGCCCTCTCCCTGCAGGAAACACACCGCCTGCAGAGCACACCTCTGCTTCCACAGCGTCCACCCTGCTCCTCCTCCCGCAGGCGGGTTCCTTCGCCAGGTGGCCATGCAGTTCCCCTGCTAACTTGGTCAAATATCAGGCTTTCCTTGATCACCTGTCAAAAGTACATAGGTCTTTTCTATTTTTCTTTATGGCACTGTCACTACTTATTTTACATATGTGCATGTATGTGTATGCATGTAAATTTGTTTACAGTCCGTTTCCCAGCACATACATAAACTCCATGACAGTGAGGACTTTGTTTCGGTCATTGCTGGATCCCCATTGTCAAAAGAAAAACAAAACGATAAAGGATGGATGAAATGGAAACAAAGCTCTGTAAATAAGAAGGGGAAGAGGAGATGAAGGGAGGGCAGGGCACTGGGGGAAAAGGAGGCACCAGGATATGTCACGTACAGGCTCAGCTTCCCTATGATGAGCGTGATCATTACGCGTATCTAACTTGTACCCAGAAGACTTAATTAAATATAAAGTAAAATGGGAAAAAAGGCATAGTGCTTGGCAAAAACAGACACATGGGTCAGTGGGACAGAACAGAGGGTGCAGTGGAACAGAAGACAGAAACTGCCCCAGGCACATTCAGCCCCCTGATCCTCGATAAACAGGTCAAAAACTCACCCTGGAGGAGGCAGTTTCTTTAATAAATGGAGCTGGGAAAACTGTTCACCCCATGAGGAACCTTATCTCTCACCTGTACTAAAAAAAGTCAGAATAGATGGAAGATCTAGACACTAAAATAGAAATAATGACTCTGTGGGAGATAAAATGGGTAAAACTCTTGAAGACACTGGCAAAGACAAGGACTTTCAGAGCAGAACCTCAATTGCACAAGAAGTAACTTCCAGAACCAACAAACAGGATTGTATCAAATTAAAAAGCTTTTGTACAGCAAAGGAAATAACAGAATGAAGAGACAACCTAGAGAAGGGGAAAAAACTTCTACCAGATACTCTTCGGACAGAGGACTGAACTCAAAAGATTACACTTCCCAAAAGAAAAGACCCAGCCAAAAAATGATCAAGTGAAGTAAATAAACACTTCTCAGAAGAAGTACCCATGGCCAATAAGTAAATAACAAAATGTTCAGCATCTTTGGCCATCGGACAAGTACACATCAAAGCAACGCTGAGCGTCCGTCCTACCCTAGAAAGAACGGCTATCAGCGCAAACCCTTAACACAAGGAATGCTGGTGAGGCTGTGGGGAGGAGGGACCTTGCCATAGTGCCGATGGGAACCTAAATTAGTACAACCACTATGGAAATCAACGTAGAGAGCTCCCAAAGAATTTAAAACAGAAATCTGACCCAGCTGTACCTCTTCGGGGTATCTTCCAGAAGATTTGAGGACATCATGTTATAGTAGCCCATGCAAACCATGCAAAACATGCAGACCCATGTTTACAGCAGCACAACTCACTAGAGCTAAATCTTGGAAGTAGCCTGTATGTCCATCCACAGGTGAATGCATAAAGCAAGTGCGATATGTACACACAATGGACTACTTCTGAGTCATAGAGAAGAATAACTTTGAGTCATGTGTAGGAAAAGGGATGCACTTCAAGACCATAATGTTAACGGAAATAAATCAGATATAGAAGGTTAAATGTTGCAATGGTTTGTCTTATAACAGATAGGATACAGAAAGGTCAACTTTTTACAGATGGGAGGGAGCGTAAAAAAGACTAAGATGTGGTAAGTATATGTACCAACTTCCCACAATGAATATATTCAATATGTATTGCAAACTTGTACTAATAAAAAATGGTGTTTCATACCTTGTAGGTATTAAAGAAATACTTTTTAACACATGGAGTTTTCCTTGTGCGAAAACTGGGTTAGCCCACTATTCCAAGGACTACTTAAGTTCTAATCTGAACAAGAACATGGGCAAGCTACACAGAACTAATTCTTTTTATATACTATATGGTTTGTAGAGGCCTTATAGAGCTAAGTTTAAAAACAGTGGCCATAAAACTTTTTATTTTATGCAGGAAACTTGGTCGAATATTTTATTTAGGAACTCTACTAGCAGTCTTACAGAAAAACTTTTATTTCACCACAGTGCTAGAAGAAATGAGTACTAAAAACAGCAACGAAAGTTTCTGCGTTTACAACCAGAGTGATAGCAAATTGGCTGAAATATTTGCAGATGAAAACAGAAAAAAGTTTTCCCACGTTTTATTTATTACTGCATGGTCTGTACAAAGAAATTGTTCTATGAGCTAAACTTGTTGTGAGGCTAAAGTAAAAGGAAAAAATACATCAAGAGTGTCACAGAGCTAAAATAATTCCCTCTCTCAAGCTCGTTTGGGATTCTTTCATAAAAATCGCAAACCAGCTCTAATTTAAACAGCTAAATACGCAAGGCTTAGATTTACCATAAAAATAACGTTGCTTTAACCTAACTATGTTTAATTACTTTGAGTCATAAAATATAATTTTACAATATCATAAAACTGTTGGATCCAATAATACAAAGCAAAATATAAATCAATTTACAGCAGATAACTCTCAGAATTTGTATCCCTTTATCTGTGCTTTTCTTATGGAACTTGGTGCTTTGCCGTAAACACTGGGTTAATGTAATTGTGGATATATATTCGGAGATTTCTAAATGCACACAATGATTGCTTTTTATATCATATCCTAGCAAAAAAGGAGAGACTTAGACAAATCTGTAAAAGTGGTCAATGCGGACTCTATGTCGCACCCCTGTATTTACCAGGACCCTAATGAAGCTATCATCTGTACAACCATTGCTTAGCACCTTTCTTCTCCACATGAAATTCCAGATGGTAAGGACTGACCGTGGCTTCAGAGAAATTCCCAACAGTGAGGCCCAATAAACATATTCTGAATCATCAAACTCAGGGCTGTGCTACTGCGTAATCTGAAAATCGTCAGGTCACCTTTCCACATGAGTTTACCAGGCATTTACGTCTTCCCAGAGCCTAACAGTTCGCTTCTCCCTGATTTTAAGCGACACGTATTTTCACAGGCATCTCACAATTCACAGTGGGTGCCAACCTTTCGGCTTGCTTGGGGTACGCTGTGCGAGAGGAGGAATTATCTTGGCCCACATATAAAACACATAATATAGTTAAATTACATCAGGAACACAACTTCTTTTAAAATATATTTTATTATAACATTTCCAGCACTAGTGATGTTGTGTGTGTAATTATAATGCTATCATGAGCAAAACATGGTTTGACATATTTTTGTGCTATTTTCACTTCTTAAATTATTTTACAAAATAATGCAAGCCCAGGTTTAATAATTAAATAAGAGAACCCGCATGTCTGCCTAGTAACAGTGAACGCCCGTCGTCGCAGGCGCACGCCCCTGTAGGTAGGTTACACTTCTATCGTGGGTTTGTCATGTGACGTCTGTACACACCGGGCGGGGGGGGGGGGGGGGAAGGCAGGCACGGATCTGTGCCATTCGCTACAGAGCATTCCGTCACCACCCATGCAATCCACGCCCGAGCCCAGGCACCTGACTCATGAAAGAGACTTCCAAACGCCTTAACGACAAATTGTGAGGAGTTTACGATCCCGTGGCACTGCAAAACTAGCTGTCCCGAGTAGCAAGCAGCCCACCTGCTATGGGCTGAATGTTTGGTCTACGTACCATGCCCAGTCGCATTGGAAGTATTTTCTTTTTCTGAGTATTACATAATACAACAGTATTTTAGTAAATGACGGTACTTTCCAGCGAGTGGACTACAGTTCTGGTCAATTCCATTCTAATATAGAAAACACAAAAACTTCAAGTACTTACATCAATTAAATCCGAAAGGTCATGAATATAATACTTGAAAACAGAGGCATTGGTTGCTTCGAGCGTTAGGAGATATTCATTCCGGGCCTTAATGGATTTTAGCTTATTTTCTGAATACTTAGCTTGTCTCTAGAAATGAAGAAGATCCAGGCATTGGCAAAGATGGCAGAATCGTTTAAAAATAAGCCAGAGAAACATACATGAATGTTTATTAATCTAAGCAATGTACGCCGCATATACAAATGACCCCGGGAGTGCTCCGTGAAAAGTACATTTGAAACTGATTTAAATAACAAACTAAAATTACCCAGCTACGGAGAATCATAACAATGTAGTTGGGCTGCAGGCCCATTTACAATGCAATCCCTTTGTGAATACCCAAGTTCTCCACATTTGTACTGAACACTTGGCATTCACCACGGAAGGGTGGCCAGCTGTTACTACATGATTTTCATGTGTCTTAAGCATTTTCCGTTCCCATAGGAGGAAGTGCATGTCTTTCAGTAATCATTTGCAAATGTCTGTGTATCAGCTGTTGCATAGGTTCTCAGTACTGTACTGCCTCCTCCAATGAGGACAGAAGGGTTTTGCGATGTATCTTTACTTACCTTTTCTTTCATTTTTTCTATTTTCTTTACAGAGCTGCGGCGCTGATGTCTCTCTTCTAGCCTGATATGGAAGACTGGATCCCCAGATCTTCCGATTTGCTTCTCCTCTTGCTTCTCAGCCTCTTTCAGCTTGCTCTCTGCACTGATACTCTCCGTGTGATACATGTGGTACGTCTTCATCACCTGGGGAAAAGGGTGCCAGCTGTTAAGGGGTGTCTGCCTGTAACTTACACGGTGAAAGGGAACCATGACATGACACATGTGTTAAAAAGTCACCTTCCAACTGGTGAAGGGATGTCAGATTATTGGTAAAACACATGAATTACGGCCCTATTGCTGCTACATAAACCAAAGAAATATGCAAATTTACCTGCCAGAAAAAGGCACTTAGTGGATAGGCTTTGACGAGAAAATGATTTGCACTGAATCCTATGCATACTTCTCAGTGTGCTTGAAAAGTTCTCTTAAGCTTCAAAGCATTTCTCTAAAGCCTCCCCTGCACTATTCATTTGCAGTCCAAACCATGTCCTCATGGATAAGAGTTGGCCCAACCGCAACCCCAACTGAGGAGAGCTCTTACTAAAGGAAATGTATTGCACAAAAGCTACTTGTCAAAATACCAAATGTAAGTATGAGGGTTCATACACAGTTTTAGTTTTTTTTTTATAATTGTTTTTCTGGCCACAAAATAATACTGTATATCCAAGTACAAAACAAATGATATATATAAAAAAAAAAATCACTGTTAAGATTTGGTATATACCCTTCCAATCTTTGTCCTACAGAAAGTAACAACACACACACACACACACACACACTCATGCTTCATTTTATAAAATACCATACATCATTTCTCTTTTAAAAAAATTGGCATTATCTTATGTATATAATTTTAATGAGCCTTTTCACAATATATTAGAACATTTTCCTATATCACTAAATATTCCCATAAAACATAATTTGAAGGACTTTACAGTATTTCTTAATAAGACTTGGCATATTTACTTAACCAAAACCATACTGTAAACATTTTTGGCTTATTCCACTGTTTTGCTTTAGAAAGCCTCTTTTCCTCCCTTAGACTGTAAGCAGGCCACCGCGTCCTAGGCCAGGGCGGCGCTCACACCGTCTCCCTGCGCTCCTCCTGCCCAGGATGAGGATGTTTACCAAGTGAGGACCCTGGCCCCTGGCTGAGTCGCTTCATTAAACTTCTCAACTTCTCAAGTTGACACAATGTCCCAACCTTACAGTAATGAAATTTTTTTTTTCTCATTTCAAAGGTAAATTTTAAAATAGTTTGGAAGCATCACTGGGATGAATGAGTTTATTAAGTCAGATTATAAAATAAGGTAGAAAACATCCTTTCTTAAATCGGCCCCTCCAGTTCAAAGACACAATCCAAAAATGGGCATCAGAGATGAACACACGCTTCTCGGATGAAGAAATACCAACAGCAAATAAATACATGAAAAAATGTTCAACATCATTGGTCATTTGAGAGATGCAAATTCAAACAACACTGAGATTCCATCTCACCCCAGAAAGAACAGCTGTCCTCAAAAAATCAACCAATAGCAAATGCTGGAGAGGTGGTGGGTAAAAAGGAACCCTTCTCCACTGCTGGTGGGAGTGTAGACTGGTGCAACCTCTGTGGCAATCAGTGTAGAAAGTACTCACAAAACTAGGATTAGAGGTCCCATTCAACCCAGCTATTCCCTTCTGGGTGTCTCCCCAGAAGAATCAAAAACATCTTACAACAGCGGTATATGTGAGCCCTTGTTTGTAGCAGCACAATCTGTAGCAGCTAAATCTTAGAAACAACCCAAATGCCCATCAACCAAGGAATGCATAAAAAAGATGTGGTTTTTTAATAAACTGGAGTACTACTCAGCCATAAAGAAGGATAAACTTGAGACTTTCATAGGTAAATGGATGCAACTCGAGACCATACTCATGAGTGAACTAAATTACAATCATATGTGTAATCATCATATTGTCTCTCCAGTGTGAGAAGCTAAACGAATAAGTAAGATCCAAAATGTACAACAGATATTGTGAATTGTGAAGAAACTGTTCAAAAGAAAAGAGAAATTGATGGGGGAAAGGGGAAAAGAAGGAAGGGAAAAGGAAAAAAACAGTTATACTGCTAATTTCTCTTAGTTCACTGAAAAGAAAGTTTTGCGCTAATAGTGTTTGGACAATATTTCATGCCTAGATCTTGTACTCTGAATAACTACTATGAAGATATCAATAGCAATGTATTAATTCTCATCACTCTCCTGTTAGCCTGGACACATGTTTAAAATAACCACTTTGAAGGGTAGAACATGGGACTAGAGAAGAGCCTTTATTATTTTCATGAAACCTGATAATGTCCTCTCTTAAAAACGCAGAGAAAACACTGAGCAGGAACTAAGGGTTAAGGTATGAAGCAGGGGCAGCTTTTCCTGAGCCACGCGGCCCTGGAAAGTTCTCTGTTTTCAGTAACTACTGAACCTGTGGGGCGGGTTCGGTTGGCAACTCCAGTTTAAAAAAATAAAACAGTGCTGGGAAGCAGCTGGGCAGCTGAGCCACGGCAAGGGCGTCGCCCTGCAGCTGGGCACACAGCGAGGTCAGTGAAGCTACTACACACCTGCATGGCTGGGCTTGGCTCTGTGCACGCTCCCTGCCTGGAGGAGCCACACCCCCTGAGGTCCTGGTTCAGTTACATCTTAAAAAGAGGCTGAAAAAGCCCAAACACACACCCAGGCCCCGCTCACGGAGTTACCTAGCTGCTAGTGTTCTTGCTGCTAATAGCCAGGGAGGCACAAAGCTGACTCCCATCACACTCCAACGCGAAAACATCCCACACAGCCCTGGATTTCTTAGAAATACTTATGCTCAGTACGTCGTAAAGGAAAGACCTATCTTCCTGACGCTTGTTTACCTTGCATACCTAGGACTAGCGTAAGGAGGTAATACGCACAAGCTAAGCCTTAGAACAGGAGAAATATCCCAAGCTACCTGCCAGCATGGTATTTCTTGTTAAATAGCCTGGATCAAAAGGAAGACATTTAAGTCTGAACACTCACACGCAAGAGATTCAAAGTTCTTACAACAATGGAGTTCAGCACAACCGTGGAAGATTCTCTACCTAGTTTAGTGCTGACTTCCAGAGAGTAAGTGTCTTTGTTCAGTTTTCCAATTTGATTTAGGATTTAGACTCTTCTTTCAAATCTTAACAGTTACAATAAATGAATTTTAAAAACTGAAAGCTTTTAATTCTAATTAGATACTGATTACAACTACAAATTGCATTATTAAAATGTATGCTGTTGTGAGAGGTCAAATGTCTTTTGTATTTAAAATTAAACAACAGCTTTTTTTCCTCCAGATAAAAAACCCTGTATTTATAAAGGTGCATTTTGATTGTATACTATAAAGTAAGAGCTTCTTCCTCAAACCAAGTTTTTACATATCAATTAGCATGACAGAAGTCCTATTTCAATTCTTCTCTACTAAGATTTCATTCATAATCCCCTATTCAAAAGACTGAACTTATCTTTCCTCAATTGCAGGAAAAATATAGCCAAGTAGAAAATGACCCATATGGACTTCCTTATAAGACTGAGAATTTCTATATAGTCACTTTTGCACAGAAGCTGTGGATATTTTTTTTTCTTACCAAAAGGCCCAGATCATGCCTCTGACACTACTCTTGTACTTTAAATCAAAATAATTACAATACCTCTAGTAAATACCAATAGTATTAAAAATTATTATGAATCGAAAACATATGTATTGGAGAAGCTCAGTGGAGTGACTTTTGGTTTAGAAGTTAGAAGACACAGATCCCAGGAAAAGATCTCCAAGCACTACATGTGAGGAAGTTATATAATGCCCCTGCTTACCTTACTGTAAGCAGATATGGATACTAAATTGTGTATCCATAATTGTTTAACCTAAACTTTACTGGGTACTTACTTTATACGTGTATATATAACACCATTCCTGCAGATACACACACAGTAGGCCTACTATGCGCTAGACATTGGCCTAAGCACTTACAAATAACTTATTTAATCCTTGTGAGGTAAGTACTTTTACTTTCCCATTACTGAGATGATAAACCGAGGCACACAGAAATCAGATAACTGGCTCAAGGACACACAGCTGTTAACGGGCAGAACAATGTTTGGAGCCGAAAGAGTCTGACTCCAGATGAGGTGTTCTGGACTGCTGCACCATAATCTTTGAAGTCTGATGCCTTACACAATCAGAAGGCCTCTTCACCTAGGGAATACAATTACTCTTGGTTAGAGGAGGCGAAGAGAAATTAAAAGGTAATTATTTATTCAACATTTGCTTGGTGCTTATAAGGTACAGATGAGCACTTTTCTTCAAACAAAGGTCTGTTTCCTGTTTTGTAACAGTTTGCGGTTTTGGAGACTGAAATACGGGCCTTAGATATTTGGCGGGCACAGAGGGAGGGAGGGAGCATTTACGCTGGGAAGACGCGAGCAGCGACGGCCCGGTGGGAACAGAGAACGGAGGCTCACGCAGGCGGAGGGGTGCAAGCAGACCAAGACGGCAGACAGAGCAGAGCTTGAAAGTGGACAGTCTGGGTAACTGGGCTGCGGGATTAGACCGGTTATGGTGGCACAGGCTGGATGGGAGAGCCCTGAAACTCCAGCGAAGAAGTGTACAATTTCCAGGGGTCTGCGACTGCACGGAGGTGTACGCAGCATGGGCAAAGCAGTACCTTGGCAGTACCCTGGCGAAGATGAGCAGGATGGCTGGGGTATGCAGTGGTCCCACTTTGTGTGGGAGAAGAGGAAAAGAGAATCAAAATGATAACAAGGCCTTTTCTCACTTTATCACTGTCTTTGACCTTTTCTTACACCTGACATGACTTTCTCCGCCGTGATGTTCAAAACTTGAACAGACCGAACACCTGCCCCAGCAGCACACTGGTCCCACTCGGGGTCGGTCACTTACGCCCACTTCATCAAAATCTGTGCCGTCCTCTTCCTGATTTTCACCAAGCCAGTGCCTCTGCCTGGACGCCCTTTCCCAGGCCCTGCTTTTGTTTTTGTCTAGACCCACCCTCCAGCACGGCAGAGCCTCCGCCACGTGATACAGATATCTGTGTGCCAGTCATCTGTACTGCAGCTGTCCTATGAGATCAACTAGCTGCAAACAGA